AACCAAAGTCCATTTATTCAGCTAAACCATCGTTTCTACCCACCATCGAAAACGCTCCCAGTAAAGTACACGTTCGCTCGTCGTATACATGGCCAACAGTCCTCAAGTTTCTGGAGAAAGATCAAGTTCTGAGGACGGATCTCAACACCAACCCAAAATATTTTCAGTTAGGAGAACCTTGTTCTTACTCCTCTATTACTTAGACTATCAAACCTCTGTAGAACAAAATGTGCCCGAAAAATTCAGATTCGGTGGAGCATCCAATTTAGAATTTACAACTAAATGATTCTATCGTTTCGTTTTCCGGTGGTATGCCCAAACACACATATACGTTTTTGCATCTAAGCAAATTCGCAATAAATTCTCTCCACCCATGGTTATCGATATACTGTGACATTGGTAAATGAAATATGTTCCCAACTTGACAGTCCCATGGCACAAGTTCGATCAAAACCTGTATGTATGTGATGTGGTAAAAACGGTGGACTTACGCACAGTCGTTTCCGAATCGCTGGACGAGTCACTCAGACTCACTGGATGGAGATTTTCATCCGCCCATCGTAACACCACCTGCCTCGGGGTAAATGTGTACAAAATTTGTTGGTAACCAATGTGTTTCCAGCATTCAGATACAAAATCTACAGTTAAACTTGTTTGAAAAATCAAGATCAAAGTTTTGACTGCGGGTCAAGTGAAAATCACGAAAACTCTGACACATTTCCGTACAGATAGGAAGTCATTCCATTCGAAATCAAATTGGAATGGTGTTGGGATTTTAAGCTCTTTTATATTATGTAAGTGTACTTGAGATTTGTCAATTTGGTTGATACGACGTATCAAATTAATCTTCTCTACTCCTACAAATTGCGATAGGTTTTTGAAATAACTTTGTTAGCATTCTCATACACGGGCAACTGTGGACAGTGCGTAGTAAGTGGATCCAAGGACTACCTGTTGTTGTACATTGCTTTCGGTAAAATATTGCCAATTATATTTAAATGACTCGTTCGCTAATCAGCTGCCTAAACTACGTACATCGAAGTAGATAAGATATAGATTATTGTCCAAGCCTAAAGCATTAATAAGGATGATAAATATAATGAAAGTACCTTTAATCACAAAGAAGATATTTTAGTGCATCACAATCGGCCAGTACTGTAGGTTACGCGGAAGAATCATGTATAGGTTTTATGATAGTATCATAAATCTGAGTTTTGCTCTTTCAATGCAGTCAACTCAAGTGACCTTTAGGCAGAAGTCAAAATAATGGTGACGGAAACTGGAGTGGGCCTGTTGCAATGGCAATACATGACTATAATCTCTTGAACAGAACTATATGGTTCCTTCCGGACAGGAAATTGCTGTCTCCTTCATAAGAGACTATTACACTATTCGTCTGGTGGTCTATCCCGAACGCACATCTAAACATACGTAAATGAGTATTATTTCATGGTATTTGTGTTCAAATCCTAAGATCCGGTGACTTGACCTTGATTTTAATTGGTCGTTGAGTTCTCGCAACTGTTCGAGTGACCCGACTAGAAAAGTTAATCGATATCGGACTGAAAACAACGCCATACGTTTACTGAGGACAGAATGATTTAATCTAATATTTGATGCCATACAATTTGCATTCTGTATTTTTCCCTGAATCTAG